CTGTCTGCTCTGTGATACAGAGTCCTGATGACTCCTAACTTGTGCTCCAAAGGGTGATGGGAGTCAAACTGCAAATACTGGTCTGTGTGGGTGGGTTTGCGGTACACCTCAGTTTGCAAATGTCCTCTATCCGAGACTGAGACCTCACAGTCCAAGAAAGCCAACCTGCCATTTTTTAGATCTTCTCGTGTGAACTTGATGTATTTATCCACAGAGTTGATGTGGTCAGTAAAATGTTGGACTTCCTGAGATTTAATTTTAACCCAGGTGTCGTCAACATACCTGAACCAATGATTTGGTGGTGTCCCTGAAAAGGACGTCAAGGCTCTCTTTTCTACCTCCTGCATGTACAGGTTGGCAACAATAGGAGAAACTGGAGACCCCATAGCACACCCATGTTTCTGCCTATAATATTGCTCCCCATATGTGAAGTAGGTTGACTGCAGGCACAGTTTCAAGAGTTGACACAGTTGTTCTGTGGAAAGCGTGGTCCTGCTGCTCAGAGTGGTGTCTGATTTTAATCTTAAACTGACCGCCTCTACTGCATCATCAACTGGAATGCATGTAAAGAGTGATGTGACATCAAAAGAGACCATTGTTTCATCAGTCTCCATGATGACATCCCTCACCTTATCCACAACGTCCATGGTGTTCTGTATGTGGTGTTCTGAGCTGCCAACTAAAGGGATGAGTACAGACGCCAGAAATTTGGAAACATTGTAAGTGACAGAGTTAATCATGCTAACGATTGGTCTTAAAGGTACACCTTGTTTGTGGATTTTAGGTAAACCATACAGACTAGGTGTGGTACATTGGTGTGGTACAACATTTTTGTTGTTGTTTTGCTTTAATTTGTTTTTTTGAATGGCCAGAGGACCAGATTTAACTTTTTTAGATTTTTCTACCTGGATTATTGAGCATGCATCAGGATATTCAATTCAATTATTTATATAGCACCAAGTCACAACAGAAGTCGTCTCAGGGCACTGAACAGAAACATTTATATATAAAAATAATAATTGAACATTATTTATCTGAGGAACAGACTGCTTTGAGTTTAACTCCATCACAGACTCTCATCTTGAGCAAGCTTGAAGGTGACAGTGGAAGGGAAAAACTCCCTCATGAAAAAGAAACCTTTAGCAGAACCAGGCTCAGAACAAGCGTCAACTGCTTCGACTGGCTGGGTTTGAGAGGAACAGATACACAATGGCAGTCCAGAATCACATGTTAAGCTAGAAATAATATCAAATGAAAACTATTTGTTTTTAACAATTAATTTAAGGAAATTCGGTCAATTTGTCCTCCAGTTGTCTAAGCTTATAGCAACATAACAAGCCAACCCTAACTATAGGATTTATCAAAAAGGAAAGTCTTCAGCTCACTCTTAAAACTGGACAATGTGTCAGCCTCATGAACAAAAACTGGAAGTTGGTTCCACAAAAGAGGAGCCTGAGAACAGAAAGATCTTCCGCCATTTCTGCTTTTGGAAACTCTAAGGGTGCATTCACACCAGCCCTGTTTAGTCCGCTTTAATCAAACTCTAGCTCATTTTCTTAAAAAGTCCGGTTCGTTTGGGGAGGTGTGAATGCGCCATCGAACTCTGTCACGGAACAAAAAGGCGAACTCTGG